GAGGTACATTTGGTTGTTTTTTACAGATAAGCAAAATTTGTGGGTGAAATGGATTCATATTTATCACTTAAGGGGCAGAAGCTTCTGGAGACTAAAAGCTTCTCAATCATGCTCTTGGAACTGGCAGAGTTTTCTTAAAATAAGATACTTAATTAGGCCACTCATTAAGCATGTGATTGGGAATACACAATCTACAAAGCTTTGGTATGATAACTGACATCCTATTGGACCTCTAGATTCATTTGTTAGTGTGAATGGAATAGATGAACTGCATCTCAATAAGGAGGAGTTTGTTAGCAAAATTATTAACAACGGCCAATGGCAATGGCCTCCAAATTCCAATACCATCCATATTGTGGTCAACTCCATGCCTACCTATCTCCCCAACCCTACTAATGAGGATACTCTCAAGTGGATTCCTAATAGCAGAATGGGATTCAACACCAAATCTGCTTGGGAACAAATCAGACAAAAGGGACCTTCTGTTTTCTGGTATAAGCTAGTCTGGTCTGGGAGATCTATCCTTAAAATGTGTTTAATCCTATGGCTGGCAATTAGAAATAGGCTTAGCACCCTTGATCATGTGCAATCTTATGCTGCTCACTTGGGATCAGGATGTATTTTATGCAGGACTTCTTCTGAAACACATCCTTATTTGTTTTTTGGGTGTCCTTTCTCCTCTAGAGTTTGGTCTGCTATCCTCTCATTCACTGGGAAATTTGGCAGCCTAAACCTTGGGATGATTTTGTCAAATGGGCTGCTACTAATTGGATGGGTAATTTGATGAAGAAATTGATTTGCAAAACTGCTTGGATGCCACTGTTTATCACCTGTGGATGGAGAGAAATAATAGAAGATTCAGAAACCTTTTTAGGGACTGAAACTCTGTTACCCATCTTATTCTGCTGACTGTGTGGAGTAGACTGCCTTCTCTCAAATTCAATACCTCTAGTAGCAATCTCCAAACTATTCAGAAGTGGACCCTTCCACATCGTTGTCTCATCTAATCCCCTATTCCAGAGGATCTCTTTTGCTCTGTTTTATGGGTGGAATTTGTCTGGAAGTGGTCACTAACTTCACTTACATTTGAATTCCTCCTTTCCTGGTTTTTTTTTTTGTGGCTGTTAATAGGTTGTTCTTATTGTTTTGTCATTGTCTATACACCTTTGTATTTTTCTCACCTTATGCAATAGATTTTACTTTCCGAAAAAAAAAAAAACATTCAAGGGGGTGGATTGGGAAGATGTTTCCAAACTATTTCAGGCTTTTCTATTTGGTGACAGTGTTACATGCGAGCACAATGCTTTATAAGTGGTAATTGTGACGAGTCTTAAAGGCATGCAGATTTAAGCTAAAGAGGACAACATTGTACAATGGGATTCGGCACATTACAATTTGTAACTAAGATACTGACATCCTGTTGTGAAGGCTACATAATCTGTGCACTAGGAGTGCACCCTGATCAGGCAGGATGGGACAGTGCTGGCATGGTGAGAACCACCTTCAGATTCCCACACTACTTGGACCTGGACATGTTTGACACAAGGACGTATGAGCCTAAGAAGGTTTGAACATCCAACTCAAAACAAAACAACATTGTACAATAGAAGTCCAACAAGATACATAAGATGCTAATTCACAATTACCGTGAATGACAACCAAACCACCTCCAAAGACATGGAACATGGAATCAAAAGTTGCATAACTTTAGTATAAACTTAACATCATAAGTATACAAGAAACAATGTTTTTCATTAAACATATGCCCTAAACATGGCAGCCATTAGGAGGCACATGAGGCCTTTAATGACAAGTGGTTTCATGCAAATAGCCTGTTAGAGACAAGAGGGCTATAATGGCTTACTCCAGAAACTGAAAGAGATATACATAGAAAGGAGAAAACTAGAACCCGTCCATTCAATCACACCAAATTGGCTAGATTATATAAAATATAAAAGACAAAAAACAACGTTACATTAACATCCCACTTTCATTACTATAACCAGAATCAATGAAAATGCCAACATCACTCATCCATTACTTTACACACAATCAACACAAAACGCATGAATGAACTTGATGCAAAAAACGTAACTCCGGCTGCAATGTTTTATTGCATCCAATAATTTTATTAGAAGACATTTTTGAAACTATCAAACAAATTCTTCATTCAAGATGACATTTCTTTTTAGGGTAAAAATCACATGAACCCATAAGGGGTGTTGTAGTACACGAACATCCCTCGACAGCTAAAAAATGCATGGAGATTTTTGGACATTGAAAAGTTGTAATAGAAGTCCCCCTCAGTCTTGCTCCTACCCCTTTTCTATTTAGCCAAAAAAAAAAAGTTCCCCCTCAGTTGACGGACTTAGTAAGATAACGATAAACCATGAAGTCAGTCAAAAAAACTTAAATATCTGCAAGGAAACATTATATTTTCACCCCCTCAACTATGACCCTTTTTTCACATTGCCCCTTGAACTACGATGTTTTCACATTATACCCCTAACTATGTGATCAGTTTCACATCACCCTAATTATTAACGTCTGTTACAAATTTAACGGAAAATCATTTCACTCTGCCTCTCAAACTATGTTATTTTTTTCACTTTCCCTAGACACGTTGACAATTTCCATCCAAGAGACTAGATGACCGTTTGCATTTGGGACAATGTGAAATAATTCAAGTAGTTGAGGATACAATGTAGAAACTTCAATAGTTCAAGGGGCAATGTAAAATTGAGTCCATAGTTCAGCAGTGCGTTCTATTTTCAAAATTAAAAAAAAATGACTAAGATTTATAGGACAATACTACCCCAAACTTTCATTTGAAGAGACAATTATGCCCCTTATTAATAATTTGATAATTAAATAATCTTAGTAATTAACACCACATTCATTGTAATTTGAAAAATTCGTCACCAAATTAAATATGTTAATTATAATACTATAAACAACTTATCTGAAAACCTAATCTAAATTTCAATGATTAACCTAAATAAACAAATCTAGTTTTAGTTTTTAGGATATATCTACTAATTATATACTTTAATTATTTACTACTTAAGAATCCATCTAGACTTAATTTGTTTCATAATTTTGGTATGGAATTTAGTAACCACCATGACCTGTGCCTCCTACGCCACACATCAACACAACCACCTTCACTATCATTGAAACCTTCCACAAATCATTCACCAACCACCATTGTCACAACCTTTTATAGTTCAATCGTCAGACAAACTGCAATTTTCAGAAATTATTCACTATCACCACTACAAGCATGGTTATGGGAAGCTTATGTTTGTGTGTGTGAGAGTGAGAGTGAGAGAGAGAGGGATCCGTAACGAGGTGTTGTGGGGAGGGGACGGGACTATTGGTAAGGGTCTTAATCAAGCCGAGCCTTCCGAGCATTGGTATGCAACAAGTTGAAGGGCTGCTTAGGCTCGACTTGGACAACGAGTCCAAGTTTTTGTTCAATTTTTGCTTGACACGCACATGAGCCAAGCTTGAACCAAAATTGAGATTAAAAAATTAATCTCAAATCCATACTCAAAAATTATCAACTCTCAAATCCACAAGCCCAAATCTCAATTCCCAAGTCATGGTCTGGATGTGTCCAAATTTTTTAAAAAATTTATCACCGTGTTTTAGACATATCCTGATCGTGTCCTAAATGTATTCTAAACGCGTGCTAGAAGTATTCTGACCGTGTCCTAGACCTATCCTGGTTGTGTTTGACTGGGTTCACTATTCAGGACACTTCTAGCCGTTTCTAATACGTGTCTATGACATACACGTGTCCGACACTGTCATGACACATCTCTGGGAAATATCCATGCTTTCTAGGTTAGCATCTATGAAAAATTATATTTTTTTGTTTTGTCCTTAATTATTAGTATAAAGTCAATTATGCCCAAAATTTACTTTTATCTAATTTTTATTTTCTATACATATTTGACTTTCAAGTTTTTTTGGACTGTTATATCAATAGTATTTGTCTTCTACATTTTTGTGGACTCCTTTATTAATTGTACACTTACATACAATTTTCAATAGCTATATCTATATATATGAAGTAAAATTCAATCTATATTATATTATTATATACATGTAGTTGTCAGATTGGATTATACGGTCAAATATATATGTCAGATTTAATTTTTGGTGTGCAATAATATCATAATATTATAATTCAAAAAATAGTATCACAAATTCATCAATCTCATTGAAAAAAATGTAATAAATCTATTAATATAATTAGATATGCAAATTCTCAAGAATGTCCATTAAAGGGCCGGGGAGATATCTAAAAAATGACAGATTAGGTACTCAAAGAGATTAGGTATTCAATAAATCTAATTATTGAATAAATGAATAATTAATTAAAATAAGAATTAATTATTTGACACATGAATAATTGGACAAACTACTAATTAGTGAGATTTTTTTTAATTTTTTTTTTGGGCAGGGTGGGGGAGGGGGACGTGAACCCTTGATCTCAAGAAGACAAAGTCTTCACAATGTAAGGAGTACCATTGAATCAAAGGCTCGTTGATTTATTATTATTATTTTTTTTTGGTGGAACCTCGACGGTGTGAGGGAGATTTTAATGATTAAAAATCAAATTACACCTAGTTAGGGGAGGACTAATGTACCTTACCCCTCCTCAATGTAATTTAATTACAATGCAATAAGGAATTAAAAAATTGTAATGCATGATAATACATTGAAATACTATTCTAGAAATCATAATTTCCTAAAAGCTGAAACCCACTGCTGAAAAAAATGCTGAGCTGAACAGTCACGTGAATAGTGACGTGAACAGTCCAGCTGCAGCATAAATTCAGCTAAAAGTGGTCAGCTGCATCATCCAAATTATTACCCATTGCTGAAGAACGTAGACCTTGAATGAGCTAAGAGGCTGCGCCTGCCATTGAGCTGGGGGAGTCTCTGAGCTGGGAAGAAGAAGCTAAGGGAGTAATGAAACTGAGTCTGCATTAAATACAAGCTAAAGGCAGATGAATGGCCATCAGATAAGGCAGGTTAAGAGCCATCAGATAAGGCAGTTGAAAGGAAAGGTTCATCCGCCTTTCTGATAAAGTAGATGAATAGAAAAACTCTGCCTGAGGGCCTTCTTGTCCAACTGACGAAGAACAGACAAAGAGATGAACATGCCAAAAATGAGGATCAAAATAATGATCCCCATTCTCGTAACCATCCAGATTATGAGTCCATAGGAGAAGACGAATATCCAACAACGTCAAGAAGATCCTCAGAGGAGCAAAGAAGATGAGAGTCCAGCTAGAACCACAGAATAAGATAGTGCACATCCTCACAACCACAGAATAGAAAATCTCCTCCTCATACCCACAGAATAGCAGAAGGCTCCTGTGATTAATCCAGAAATTCCAGAGACCAAGGCCATCCTTGTAGAGTTCCAACCGTAGAAGCAGAGCAGAATGAAACAAGGTCAGATCCCAAATGCTATCCCAAGAATACTAGAGGTATTGATTCAGCCGAAGAAGAGAAAATGAACAGGTGCCTGCTATACACTTTCTTAGTTTAGTTTCTTTGCTTTTGGAAGAAATGTCCCTCATGTTGAGGGATGAATTAGTAATTTGGACTTTGTTTTTTGGTGAACTCTGATCTGCACCATCTGCATACTTTGTAGATGTTCCTATAAATTGTTAAGATAATCTAGGAAGAGGCAGAGAACCTCTTACAAATTGCCCTGATCCCACGCTGATCATGTTGCAGGAAAAGTCTGATAGAGATAGGCAGCTCACCCTGATTCAAGTATAAACAAGTACACTGATCCATAACCCCTTGGTTAGCCAAAGCATCTGCCACCGAATTCCCTTCCCTATACACATGTTGTATTCGACAGTCCATAGACTGTAAAAGAGGAAAAATTTGATCTGTAAGAGCCCATAAGCGCCATGATGGGTTAAATTTTTTGGTAATCATGTCCAATACGACCTGAGAATCTGTCTCAATTTCCCAGTCATAAACCTCCAAGCCATAATCATAGATTAGAGAAAGGCCATCCAGTAAAGCACGCATCTCTGCTTCCATATTTGTGCATCTACCATAGGTATAAGAGCCTGCAAGAACGAACTGACCCCAATAATTACGTATGATCACTCCACCCCCAGATTCACCTGGATTTCCTTTAGAAGCACCATCAATGTTCAATTTCAATCTACCTTTTGGTGGATAAAGCCATGAAACACATTTCACTTTAATGGTAGCCTGAGAAACTAGATTGAGATTTAGGGAAAGAAGAATTCCTTTCCCTGATTTTGAGTCCATGGATTTTGGTTTGACATTATATACTTGCATGCGGCAAAACTGTAAAACAGTTTTAAATAAGATATGAGAGCGGAGTTTGTGATTTTCAAAGATTCTCCTACATCTTTCCCTCCATAATTGCCAGAAAACCAGAAGAGGAATACCCCTAGTCAACACATGACTAATCGAAGAGAGATTGAATATTCTTATGAGTTTCAAAAATCTTGTAATAGGACTTTCATTCTCAATCAAGTGAAAACCAAAAAATCTGGAAGCATAGCCCCACACTTCTCTGGCATAAGAGCAGCTAATAAACACATGATTTAGTGACTCTGCATCCTTTTCACACAACACACACCTACTAGCTAAAGCCACACCCTCTTCTGAAAAGTAGAATCCATAGGAAGAATGTCCTTCCATAGCTTCCATCCATGCAACATGGCACTGGGAGGAGAAATTTACTTCCATAGATTATAAAAAGGCATCTGAACTGGCCTAGAAGTGCGAAATAGACTCCAAGCCGTTTTTAAAGAAAAGGACCCAGTAGGAGTAAGTTGCCAGATCAACTTATCCTCTTTATTAGATAACAAAACAGAAGAAGAAACAATTTCCTGCAGTGGATTACCATCTAGGCATTGAGAGACTCCTTGCAAGCACCAACTACCATTTATTAATAAGTCTGATAACATTGGAAAATGACTAGGCTGTCTAGTGTTCCTTAATATTAATGGACCTGATCCAAGCCAATTGTCACACCAAAAGTTCACCGTATGACCTGATCCCACCAGCTTTTTGGAGTTGTTGATTACTACTCCTGTCCGCGGAACCAAGCAGGGCGGAGTCAGACATATTCTCCGGTGGGGGCAACTTAAACTATATTAATATTAAAATTTAAAATATTCACAAAAATATAATTTTATTAATAGAACACCAATTAAAGATGTAATTCATATACATAAGCGATATACAAAATGAGCCTACAAAAAAAACTTATTATAGATTTATCTATAAGACCTAACAAAAATTTTTTGAACCGCAAAATTCGGCTCAATCATATATTAAATTTTAAGAAAAATTTTCATAACTAATTCAAAAATTAATTTGTTCAATCACAAACTTAATATTCATCATTAAATTTTAACAAACAATCGAAACTAACTTAAACTATAATTATTTTAGTAAACTAAACCTAGGTATATGAAGTACTTAACTTATCACAATAAAACTGTTCAAACTACCAAATCAAAATAATTTAGTCTAATTATAATGGAGGATTACAAATTCTAATTCCAATTCTACAAATAAAAATAAAATAAATGAGACGACTACAAGTCCTAATTCCAATTCAACATATAAAAATAAAATACTAGAGAGGACTACAAACCCAAATATCAATTAAATATATAAAAAAATAAATCATAGAAGAGGACTACAAGCCCCAATTTTATTTCAACATAGAGAAATAAATACAAGACTACAAATCCTAGTTTCAATTCAATACATAAAAAATAAAACATAAGAGATGATTACAAGTCCCAATTTTATATTTTCAATTCAACATGTAACAAATAAAATACAACAGAGAGCTACAAGCGCTAATTTCAATTCAACATTTAAAAAATAAACCACAAAAGAGGGCTACAAACCCTAATTTTCAATTCTAACATATAAACATAAAACAAAGAAGAAGATTACAAGTTCTAAATTTAGTTCGATGTATAAACATAAAACAAATGAGAGGACTAACCTATTTCGTAACATATTAGTTAATCTTTAAATGTCCAAAATTTTGATATCATTTTTCATTGATATTTACAAGTGAGACTCATATATTTGTCAAAATAACATAATTACTCTTAAATCTTTAAAAAAAAATCAGTGGGAGCAAATATCTAATAAATTCTAAATTTTTTAAAATTACACTTTGTACCCAAAAATTTTTAAAATTCCAGTGGGGGCAGCTGCCCCCACTGTGAATCCGCCCCTGGAACCAAGGCTTTATAAAGTCTGGAATGACTGCCAGTTAGTTGTTTAAGTGGATGCTGATTCTTAAAATATTTTGAGGAGAAAAAAGAAGACCAAAGAGATGAGCCTTGTAGAAGATGCCACACTTGTTTCATTCTAAAGGCGTTCTGCACATCCGAAAACTTCCTGATCCCAAGTCCACCCTCCTCCTTTGGCATAGTGATATCATCCCAAGAGCACCAGTGGCTCTTGCGAACATCTCGTGTACCAGACCATAGAAATGAAGCCATAATGGAATTGAGTTTAGCAATAATACCTTTGGGCAAATTTAACGTGGCAAGTAGAAGCACAGGAATAGAATTAGTGAGATTAAAAGCAAACTTATCCCCAAATGAGTTTCCTTGGCAGACTAAACCCATCATAAGTTTCTTAGGGAGGATTCAACCCAATTTTCACTTTTATTTATTAATCATAACCCGTATTTGAAGGTACGGTGCAATATAAAATCTAATCGTCCAAAAAATCGATATCATTATATTAAATAGTAATTTTTTTCTTCCCTTTTTTTTAATTACATAATTTGAAATTAATTTTTACTCATTATTTTACAAAACAATCGACAAATTTTCTCAAAATGTTACCTTAAAAAAATATTAATATTAGTAAATTATGGTACATGAATAGTGCCATAAATAATTTACCTTGTTATAGAAATAAATGATGTAATAGAAACGAGCGGAAAAATGTGTAAGAAATAAAAATAAGGCAAACATAAAATTGTTTTTTACAAATAAAAAAAAAAGAAAAAAGAAAAATATAACGGTATAACTATTATATGCAGACACTTCAAAACATAACGGTATAACTATTAAGGGATTAAATTATTCACAGTTGTCCTCTAAGCCAAATAAATACGGGCAACCAATGATCTTTTGACACTTCAGCAGTTTTCTCGTATTTTTTTGAACTCTAACTTCAGCAACTATCAGTCATTAAATGCAATACAAACACAATCAAAAAGTCTAGATCATACACAATGACCAATGTGGTCAGATAACTTTACACTAGACCTTGGTTAAGTTGGAGTGAGTTCAGCAAAGTTAATTTACAACCCAAATCAAAAAGTCTACTTTTGTTTGTAATTTCATGTGTGGTTAAAGCACATGGGGATGGATGTTAGGCACATGCGGCCATTTAAAACTACGGTTTTTTCTGTTACACGGTGTATTGTTAGACGGTATTGTAATTGCTGTTAAACAATTTTCTTCGAAATCTAAGGCAAGGAAATCGCGAGTTTGTAAATGAAATAGGCATGATTTCTGGTTTAGAGCACCCAAGTCTTGTGAGATTGTATGGATGTTGTATTGAAGGAAATCAATTACTATTAGTATATGAAAGCATGGAGAACAACAGCGTTGCCCGTGCTTTGTTTGGTAAGTTGGTATTTTTTCTACATCATGTACATTATGTTGATTATATGAAGTATGGTAATTAAATTGCAAGACTACATTCACTGATAATCGGCATTGTTAATCTTTTTTCTTCACTTGTTTTGAAAGTTGGTAGATTTTTTCTCTAAAGGCTATCAATGTAAACTGAAGGTCCAGAGCAGTTGCAACTTGAACTAGAATGGCGTACAAGGCAAAGAATTTGTATTGGCATAGCTAGGGGACTGGCTTTCCTGCACGAGGAATCAACACTGAAAATTGTTCATAGAGACATTAAGGCTACCAATGTTCTACTTGATAGAGACCTCAACCCAAAGATCTCTGACTTTGGTCTAGCGAAACTCGATGAAGAGGAGAACATCCACATCAGCACTAGAGTCTCCGGAACTTTGTGAGTTTTCCGTTTTGTCTTTGTCTTAAGAGTATTCTACCACTAGCATGTTCTTCTTGAAATATATATCTCAATGCTTTGTTTGGTTAAAAGATTTTATCATTGCTTCTCCTTGTATAGTTCAAGTAAAAAATCTGACAAAAATAAAAATTATTCTCAAGAAGAAGTTTTCTTAGCTGAAAAAACCTATTTCATTTCAAGAACAAGCGCAAGGTAACACTGGACATCTCATCATATTGTTCTAACCTTGTTTCTTGAATTAACATGAAACTGCTCATCAACAATAAAAATTAGTTAGCCTATTGTGCTCGAATTATCGTCTATGTTGGCAATTCTTGTACGCAAGAGTTCATAAAAGTTATTTGAAGTAATAAATAATACTAGTAAATTACTGAGTATTTCCATTTTTGGCAGAGGATACATGGCACCAGAGTACTTACTTTGGGGTTACTTGACCTACAAAGCAGATGTGTATAGTTTTGGGGTTGTTGCATTGGAAATTGTTGCTGGAATGAACAACATGAAATATCGTCCTGATGGGAATTATGTTTGTCTACTTGACTGGGTAAGAAAATTTAATTCTTTGCATGTCTTGTTGCTGTTCTTCCCTACCCATTGGTGTATAGTTTACCCATTGGTGTATAGTTTATGTGTTTATGAGTTCCTCTTTATCGATATTATCACTAGCGCTCATACAAGATTTATGACTCAACTCAACAAAGCCTTAACTCACTTATTTGGGATCGACTACATGAATCTTGTTGCGTCATATTGTGCTCTACCAAATGTCATATTCTTTGTTAAATCACAAGTTATCATTTTTTTTTATTTTTTTACTATATCAATCATATATCAATAGGCATTACAAGTAGCTGCCATATAAGCATTATTTTTCCATACAATGCAGTTGCATTCTCTAGAGACCTACCACAAAAGATATCAAAAGTTCCTAGACTCCTAGATAAAAAATAGATCTCATTGACAATCTTAATGCTAGACAGCAAAACTTGACCATAACCGTAAAAGATTTATAATGAACCTAAAAGAAAAAGAAATACATTTCCAACCCTAGCATTATGGCAAATAGAAATCGTCCCTGAAATGTCTTCCTTATTTTGAACTATTCAGCATGGACTACTGTGCTTGGGTGCATTAGAAGTTGAACTTCTCAGCCAGTCTATCTGGGGCATCAGTATTTTGTCTTCACTAACATAAGAAAAAACAATTACTAATGTTCTTTAAGTGTCTTGAGCTAGGGACTTCTTATATTTGAAAAACTAAAATTAGTCATGTTTGCAGTTTAAAAAGAAAACGAAATCAAAACAAATTCTTTACTATGCATCCCTCAATGCGAATCCAAACTGTTAGTTTTATAGTAGACATGACACACATTCAAGTATGAATGAGTACTTTTGTTGCACCCCTTTCTATCAGTTTAAGCTTTTAGGGTTGTTGGGAGACTAACTTGGTATCACATTCTAGGAATCTTGCGTTCAAACTACACCAACAACAGCTCCCTTAGTACACAATAGAACCACGTGGACGGATCACCCAAGAGTGTCATTCGTGAAGGGAGTGTTAAATAAATACTCATGTTTTACCGCAAGTCGAATACCTGATAACTGTCATTAGCTTTTATGCTTGTTTCAGGCACTTGTTTTGCAACGTAAAGGAAGTTTGATGGAGCTAATAGATCCAAGGTTGGGTTCTAACTTCAACAAGGAAGAGGCAATGAGAATGATTAAAACAATTCTATTATGCGCTAATCCGTCGCCGACACTTAGGCCTAACATGTCTGCCGTATTTAGCATGCTTGAAGGTCAGGTTACTGTTCAGGAACTAAACATGGATCCAAGTATTTATGACGATGAATTGAAGTTCAAAGCCCTCAGAGACAAGTATGAAGTGATGGAACACCAGAACTCCGGTGAAACTGAGATCCTTATCCCTTCATCACCACCACCCAAGATATCTACCCGATTATTCTTGGTTCTTCATACTGAGGAGCGAGAATTATGCTTTGATGGTCCATAAATAGATTGCTTGTTTAGCTATTTTTTAAGTTTTTGTCCTACTTAAGGAAGCCGAAATATGCATTTTTCCTCTTTCCATTAAGAATCATGACCTTGGTGCAATTGAAATCAAGAGCACAGTGACAGGTGGATGACCAAGAATTTATTAGTGTAATGGCTAAAAAGGATAACATGAAATGATAAATGACAGTTATTCTTGTCTTGCTTCATTAACTATGCTTAATTTGTAGTAGTATCCAATATACAAGCAACATTGTTTTTTCGATATGCAGCTGCACAAAGCAAGATATGCAGGATCATGAAACATGGGACACACCTGGCCTTTTAAGTGAAAGTCTTACAAGTGGTTTCTGTATCAATAACCATTATCCCGAAGCTAAGATGTCTCCGTTGCTGATATCCCCCGTTGTCCATTGATCATCTCAGCTGCATAATCAGCAGATAAAGTAGATTCTTCAATCTCTTTGCTAGCAGAATGAGATAATGTAGTGTTTGATGCCCCTTCTTGTGATGTGCTCCCGGATTGAGAGGATTGAGAAAGAGCAGCTATGGCCTTGGCAGTTGTAAATTCATCCATTGGGTAAGGGGCACTGATTCTAGAGGAAATTATCTTAGTCTTTCCTTCCATGATTTTTACAACTTCAGACATGGTTGGCCTGAGTGTAGGGGATGGGTTAGTGCACATCATTGCTAAATCTAAAATTGTGATCGCGTCTTTCCGAGAGAAGTCAGATCCGAGGGCTTGATCTACTAGTTGTATAAGATTTCCCTGCTGTTGTAAAACATAAGCCTGCAAATTTTCATTGCATCTAGTAATCTAGTGAGAAGGCTTTTTATATATAGACAATGCATCAACAAATTTTTTTTTCGTCATGATGATTTTCTTTTTCAAGCATGGACACACGAGCATATAAACACTCACAAACAAAGTTAATAGAGTGTGGATTTGCATTTGGCTCACCAAATCTAGAAGGTAGACACTCTGATCATTTGGCCTAGAGGTGGCATTGTTCTTCCCACTGATAATTTCGAGAGTCACAACTCCAAAGCTATAAACATCTGCTTTATCTGTTAAGTAACCTCGCATGGCATACTCAGGTGCCATATATCCCCTGCAAAAGGCCTCCACCATAAGGACAGTCATGCATTTACCTTGAAAGAGAGAGGGTTTCTAAATTAACAAGTTATTTCTCATCAAATGTACAAGTATTTATTATAAGAGAGTGTGACAGGCATAGGTTCCTTACGTTGTTCCAGCTATTCGGGTGATGACGTGTGTCTTTTCCTCTTCATAAAGCTTAGCAAATCCAAAATCAGATATCTTTGCATTGAAATGCTCGTCTAGCAGAATGTTTGTTGGCTTAATATCTCTATGGACAATTTTCAATTTTGATTCTTCATGGAGAAAAGCCAGACCTTTTGCTATACCTAGGCAAATTTTGACCCTAGTTGGCCAATTTAGTTCTAATTTGAGTTCCTCTGCACCTGTAAATTACCCAACTTCCACAATGTTACATACTAATATCAGAAAATTTTAAGTTTAAAAGAGTTGTATAAACAAACTTGTCTGATACCAAATAATGCATGTGCAAGGGAATTATTTTCCATGTACTCGTAGACAAGTAGGAGTTGGTTGTCTTCTGCACAACATCCCATTAGTCTCACTAGATGTGGATGTTGCAGAGCTGAAATAGTACTAATTTCATTAACAAACTCGCGGATTCCTTGCTTTGATCTTGTTGAAAGTTGTTTAACTGCTATGATAGGTCCCTTGGGAAGTATGCCCTGCATATTGATGTGCAAAATTTCTAATTAAAAGACGAACAGGCAATTAGAAGTTTATTGGGCTTATGTTGGAGAAAGGTTTGCCAACTCCACACAATTGGAAGGAACATTTGACATAATCTAAAAAGAAATGAATGCTGGATTTTGAATTCCAGAGCAAGAATTGAGAAAATATGGACCTTATAGACAGTTCCAAAACCTCCTTCACCTAGCTTGTTAGCAGTGCTAAAATTCTGTGTGGCAGCTTTTATTTGACGGAAATTGAAAACCCCTCCAGGAAACAACTCTATTCTGCTAAGTTCTGTTTCAATGCATTAGCAATCAAATTGAAAAACAGTCAAGAAAGATGTTATCATGCATGAATGGTCAAAATGCTTATCGATGTTGTGGTGATCGAACTTTGTTTTTCTTACCTTCATCATGCAATTTTTTGACACCAAAGCAGCCCAACTTCCATAAAACACCTAAAATGAATATAAAGAAGAGCAAAAAAGATCCTACAATCCCAACAATATGCACAACAGATAGCCTGCTAGAAGCTTTGTTTCTTGGAACTGTTTCAATAAGATTCCAGAGAGTTATCAGTCCTATAGAGGACATTACCACCACAAGGCAGCAGAAAGAAATGAAAGAAAACACTGAACAGATAGATCATACCAGGGGAAACGGATATAGCAGATATAAGTGGACCATAATATTTTATTGTGTCACTTATTGAGCCTTTGCCAGTCCAATATAAGTGAATCTCCAGTCGGTTGTCATTCACAGAAACATTATACTCCATGGTTTTATCCTTATTCAAACCCTCTGCTTCTGCTTCTATATTGAAATTGCTCAATTTCTTCTCACCCTACAGTGAGTATTTTTGGTATAAATGCAATATGCCAAGTCAGGACCATGACTAAAGGATCAAAATTTTGTTTCGAAACAGTTAAAATGGCTTAAGCGTTTCCATTTTTATGGAGACCGACACAATGATTGATTATCAAATTCCTATTTTAAATTTTGCAAAACGTTTCCGAAATATTTTCATTTCTTAGGTGACAGAAAAAATGCACCAAAACAAAATTTTGGTCCTTACATAACTGTATAGACGGATAGCTTACCTGTATTTCCACATCAAAGGCTCGCTTCCCTTGCTGGACGTATTTTTCATTACTTCCCATGCTATTTCAGCAAAGTGAAGTTTCACTATGTATACGTCATTTTTCAGACAAAATCCATAGTACTTCAAGGATATTGGAGAAACGCGTGCTGTCTTATATAAAGGTGCATCAACCATGGAGATATTGCATGTTTTTTGTACTATGTAGTTGTTGCGGTCTGCTCCCGAGAATATTCCCATACTACTATAAGCCCAACTTTTATTGCCACTTAGAAAAAATGTTGATCCCCCATCTGGTTGCAAATCTGCTTCATAATTATTATCATTGATTGATACTTGCTCACCACCACAATTTATGTATAAATGATCATCTGCAAAATATAGTACCAGTGTCGTCATCTTTTCAATGAAATTTTACCAAAGAAAAAAAGGATACAATATAAGCCACTAACTACTTCCTCGCATATTAGGAGAGCAAAAAAATAATGTTATTGCTCCAATGTCAAGAAATTGGCCTCTTCCCTAGTTCCTAGGTTCCCCTCCCACCCCTTTAACCCCAAATAGAAGGGAAACAATTTCCAGACTCGAGAATTATGTTATGGTACGGATAGAAATCGAGAAGCTCAATTGCACCACCATAATGACCAATTCTGCAGCCATGATCACCAACTAGAATTATGGCATTAACATAAAATTATGACTGAAAATGCTTTTAATGAATGTTCCTAAATGATGGAACCATTTGATAAGTTGCTCAACCATAACTCAAATCAAACACCGAAAAAAAACCTTACTAGAAACATCTAAACTCCACCCTACTAGAATGCAAAAGAGATGAATATCTTCAAAATCCTTGGTAATTGACGTCCAAAAGGATGCTTAATAATATATCTTATCCCATAATCCTTCCACCACCTCCCATGCGGTGATATTTTTGTATCATGTACATGGTACTAAATTCTCAAACATGGTATAGCTTTTGTTACTGATTTGAAATTTTTATTCAACATACCTATACTTTCCTATATAAAATGGAATTATTGATGTTTTATTGCATGGATCAAAATAAAAAATTCACCTTTGAGATTAGCAATCTCGAGATCGATGAACTGCTATCCATGAATAATATCTTTTTGCCAATAATCTACTCGGGTATGAACTTTTTCTATTGATGATTACTACTATTTTCTTTTTTTCTTAAATATTTCTTTTAATTGACGAAGGAACCTTGAAACAGACGTAGGATGATAAAGGGCAAGGCAAGATGCTGCCACTTGGAAATTTCGCCTAGGATTATAAGCCATTGGGTGCAATACTAGTTAGAGAGATGGAGTAGTCCAACAATGAAAGCCCAACATCTATGCTTATAATCCAACTCTCCTAAAATCTTGAACCTGTAGGTAGTGATCCCATCAACTGTAGTTAATCTTATTTTTTCACAGCACTATTCACATGAGATATTGACTTGTCACAAGTGTTATCCACAATATCTTCCTTAGTACTATTCATGGCTTTCTTCTAATTATTATTTCTTATCAAGTGTATGCCTTCCCTCACCACAACTCCATGCCACTCTTGCAGGTAGCTAGCGGAACACAAATAGTATTTTTCCCCTTGATTGAAAGAAAGATGTGCTTCTAAGTAAGCCATGTTTGGAGTTAGCCTTCTCATGTGTAAAAATGAATCCAAATTTAGAACCATAATATGGCAGCAGTAACGGAACATCATTATGAACCATAGACAAATATGTACAAGAAGCGTAGGAGTCCAAAAAGGAATTGAATATGGATACTTAGTGTTTTGTTGCATTTGTTATAAACTTCTTGCCATTCTTGCCACTTTGCAGGCCTGTAAGGATAAATATAAGAATGAAAACAAAGCACATTATAGTAATTGGACCTGGCTTTAGATAGAAACTTCATAGTCATTAAAATTGAATAAAAGAAACAAGTATCAAGAACTAAGAAAAATGTTGCTTACATGGTGGTCATATTAGAGCAGCATAAAAACAAGTTCCTGAAAATAGAGGATTTATATCATACAACACTAGAAACGATATTTTGAGAAGAAAAAAAATTCTCGTAGTTGCATTTTCCTTACAAATTTTTAGATATATTGCCAGGTGTTATGGCTGCATTTGTGAAAAAATTTTCCGAAACATCCCTGCAAAGTTGTGTACAGATAATAGAACTGTAAGATATAGCCTACTTGTTGAAGTAATACACTTTCCAGATCCCCTAGGATACACTAGTAGGCAACTACATAACTACATGTTCACCAAATAAGGGTCATCAAATGAAATTGTTATGATGGATGTATGATAAGATAAAAGTATAAAGAGGAACATACTTTGTAAGCAACTAGAAGTAACACAATAATAGGAACATAGAGACTAATTGAAAAAAATGGTCGGTGAGGATGTCGTAGGCAATCCAAGGAAAAAGAAAGATATAATCGAACTGTTGGTTTTTTTGTGGAGTTTAGTTTGTATATGTGATTCGGATGATGACTCGACCCGAAGTAATGTTGCGTGACTTTTTAATAAGAAATTTTCTGAGGCTTAGTCCATGGAGCGAAGGCTTGGGCCTATCCGTAGCGCTCATGGACAAGCCTTGTGGGAGTTTGGGGGCAACGCCCCCGAGGAAAATTTTTGGGCCCGTTATATAGCCCAATGCATAGGACATATAAAACCCGTTGTTTTGGTGATTAGGGTTTTTATATATATGGTGGATTGTACAGTCACTCTCAATATTCAATTCTCTCAATAGTGAAATCCCTGCAGCTTCGTGGACGTAGGCAAATTGCCGAACCACGTAAAATCTGTGTCTTGTTCTTTCTTTCTTGTTTCTTATTACTTTATGTTTTTGATTTGTTCTTCGATTGTGTGTGTTTGTTAGTGAATTTAAATTGTGTTAAATCCGAACACGAACACAGAAAGAGGCAGAAAAGAAAGGCATGATAGCTTCAAGTTGATAGGTTACATGACAAAATAAATCAACATGAAAAAGCGAGAACCATGTATCCAACCTTAAACAATTAAACTGATGCCGAATAAGGAAAAAATTCAAAATAACACGGACTAACTCGGAATTGTGTGAAGAAAGTACTCTAACTGGAAATGACAAGATCTACAAGAATCATTTTAGCACATATCCAACAAATTTTTGTGTTCTTATCTCCAATTTGTCTTTTTTTTTTTTTTAATGTTCTGGAGATTGGAGTTATATCTAAATTCGTGCTCAGCTGTTGCCTTCGCATTCACATCGTAATGTATGCTTTTCAAGCAGAATGCATGTTCCACACACTGATTATGGTATTGCAGCTATTGCTATCCTCTGCGGCAATGATTGGGCCTTGGATAAGGGCAAAAGCTTGAATGGATTCATCATATTTTCACTGTCATCTTTGCTGTGAGATTTATCATTTGTCTTTGGCTTTAAACATATATGTTATCTCACATTTGTTTTTTGTGTTTGCCTTCTGTAGTTGTATTACAAAGAGGAAAGCAATGGAATACAACGTGAGCTGGTTAACTGTATTAGAACAATGAGAAACTAGGTCATTAGAGAATCTAAGAAGAATGTGTGGCAAGGTACAGATTGAAGATAGGACATGGGAGAGGTCGCCAAGATGGTTTGTGCATGTTCAATGTAGATCAAGTAATATGGCCTTTGGTTTACCAAGTTTGAATAAGTTGAAAAATAAATAAAGGGGCCAAAAATAACATAGGCGAAACTATGAGAAAGAACAAGCTTGCCTAAACACTATAGCTAATACCTAACTACAAAATAGACTAGAAAAGTATCCATATGGTCAATCTTGAAAAATTGGGATTAAGGTTGAGCTGATAACTTTAGCTGTGTGTTTTTGCTCTAAGAATGGGGGTCGTACCAATTTAACACCTAGGCACACAACACACCCACCAAAATCTGACTTAGTTGACATAAGCATCCATCAATTAAGAGAGATGCAAACAAATAATTGAATATAGTGGCATTTCACAAATACTTATCATGAGAATAAATGCAGTTTTTAATATTTTGACACTTACACATACGAATAATTTAAACTTGTCAGCCATCCTGGGAGTGATCCAGTGAGATTATTTCCTTTGAGGAATCTGTCAAACAGGCGAATGGCAGCATGAGATTCCTTATTATTACTTAGCAAATGATACAAAGGGAACATTTGGCAAACTCGACGGAAACAAAATTTTATCTAAAACTCATACAACATTTGAAGTTAAATGAAGCCAATTAGGCCTCAATTAAGCACTGTACACAGGTGGTAAAACAAGAATATGTAAGTTTAATGAAGCAACATAAAGACGTGCATGAAAAATGTAGCTTTAGCACAACCATAGTGACTGGACCAATTGATGGGTATTAAAAAGTATCAAGTTTCAAACATTATGCAAACAAAAACATAAAGATGATACGAAAAGAGTCGGCAAAAAAAGTCCTTGGAATTAAATGGATGAATAGAGTTATGAAGTGAACTCTAACTAGTAGGATGACAGATTTCTATAGTTGAGCGTTTGAGTAAAATCTTGGATCTGATCTTCTATCTTCAGATAAATTACAAATATAAATATAAGCGGAGTAATTTGTGTTGATACGAAGAATTCATCAAATGCATGAAAAAAGACAAGCTTGATATTGGATACATGAATGAACAATGTGAATTTATTATTCTTGCCTATGAAGAACGCAAGAAGATATCGTGTTCGTGTCCATGAGACACCTAAACACATATTCAGGTCTGAAAGAATTAAATCCGAAAGAGACTTTTGGGAAGTGAAATCTCTCACATGGCATTCCAGAATTTCGGTTTGACAACGTTTGGAATTACACCTGTCAAATTATTGAAACTCAAGTCCCTGTGTAAAAAACAAGTAGCAATGAGACAACTGAGGTATTAATTAGGACTCATACTCAAGGATGGAAACATTTAAGAAGTAGCATATAATATCACAACAAGCCTGCCCTATACTTGAAACATCCAACATTCATTGAAGAAGGGCTTTTGAGGAAGGGCGTAGAGAGGGATCAATATAGGAGTGAAATGTAGATAGGTTCCCCTGAACATAGATAGATCGTGATAAATTAAAAAGGCAGCACTCAATATCTATAATCTCACAACCCTCCCCCCCCCCCCCCCCCCACCCCCCGGGGCGCCCCTCCAACAAAAAGAAAAAAGATATAAAAAACTGAAAAAAAAAAAAGGAAAGTATAGCAGAGGAACAACAAAATTTAAAGGCTGTGGAGTTACAATAGAAAAAAAATATCTGAAAATCCATACACGAGATAATTATCTTACAAATATGATAGCGATGGTAACTGCCAGATAATATCCGGAATTGGACCAGTGA